AGGCTTGGACCACAGGGAAGGTGTGACTTACTAATGTCAAACCCAGAACTCAAACATGCACCAGCTAACCCTCCACCAAGTTTCCCTAGTCGAAGCAAGTCCTGCCACCAACATGCTCACAGACAAGGTCCAGCTGGCCATGACACTCAGGCCATGGCCAAGCTTATAGGGAGTGGCCTTGTGGCTTTTCAAATCCTCTTTTCTGAGGTTCCAGAGACGGCTCTGCTTCCTTTTAGTGTTCAGGACTCACAGAGGGAGATAAAAAGGGAATGTTTTGGGTTTGTCTTCTGTCTCTCCCAAATGAGTACAGCCAAAGTACATCCCTCTAGAGTTGACAGTGGTCAGGTCTGGACATGCTCAGTCATATTTCTAACAGGCTGCCTTCCAGAACATACTGCCCAGATGACTAAAGTGGATGGGAATCCCCCAACCAAGCCCAAGGAGCAGTGGGAGGCCTTTAACTTCTCTCCACAGTAAGGGGAGCTGTGTTGCCTAGGTGGCTGGTCTGGGTATGTTATGGTGGGTAAGAAGAATCCTCTGTGTCTGAGCTCAGCCCTGCCTCAGTTCTGGACAGACATGGCCCATCATGTCTCCTGAACTGCAAGGCCAGCCCCAGAGACTGGCTCACTGTGCCCACTGAGAGCTGTGAACACGGGCTGAGAGGCCAAGTAGCCCGTGGATCCTGTGCAGGACCATCCCTGTGGCAGAGCTGAAACTGTAGCTGGGCTCATGAGCTCCTGGCAAGCTCTGGTTCTAGGTGAGGAGAGAGGTTGTAGCAGCTGCTTTTGTTAAATCCTTGTGTTCCAGGCAGTTCCAGTACATGTGAGCCTCTTTATCCTTGTGGCCTAAGGATGGGGGGGGGGGGGGTAAGAGGAAACCACATCCCTCTATTTTACTAATAAGGAAAGTAAGGCACAGGGGAGTGACTAGCCCACCTTAAAAATAGACCTTTGGGGCCCTCCCTGGTGGCGCAGCGGGTTAAAGCACTGCACTAAGAAGCTAAAGCCACTTCCGCATGATTTCGACTCCCGCCTGCCCCGGAGGAGACCACATGGCGAGGCAGACCTCTCCTGACCCGCCCGCTGCTCCCCTCAGCAGTGTACTTCATCGATCTACCTGTTCTGCTCCCCACTCTGTCTCTGGTGAAGCCTCTCACCGCCCCTGAGCCTCTGGCCTGTACCCCAGTTCTGTATGCACAAATAAATAAATCTTTAAAAAAAAAATAGACCTAGGATTTACCCCACAAGTCCTTAGTGAGCAACTACTATGTGCAAAGCATGTTCTAGGTACTGGGGATTCATAGAACTGGTGGTTTACAGCAGTGCTGTAAAGTGTCCTAGAACACAAGGGCCTGGTGAGAAATAAATCAGGTCAGGGGATAGTGTCTAGAAAGAACTGCTGTTTAGAATAGGGTGATGCAGAGGGCTGCCCGTGACATTTAAGTGATTACTGAAAGGAGGCAAGAAAGGACTACCTTCCAGGTGGAAGCAGCAGCAAGAGCAAAAGCCCTGTGGTGCCTGGCATATTTCTGGAGCAGTAGGAAATAGGAGAAGGAAGGGAGGAGGATCACAGCATGAGGTCATCAGGTCACAGGGGGCAGAAGTTGTAGGATCCTGGAGCCATTATTGTCAGGACTTGACCCGAATCTAATCTAAGTGAGGTAGGTACCTGGGAGGGCCCTGAGCAGAGAGAATAGGTAGAATGTCCCAGACTCTCTTGGTGACTAATAGCACTGCCTTCTGCTGACCCTCAAGGAAGGGCTCTAGGGAGAGGACATTTGGGCTTACTTTGAATTTTAAGGAAGAGCCAGCTCTGGTAGGAGTGGGGTCCCCTGAAACCTAGGGAGTACACTGAGTATCTTTGAAGAATGGTGAGGAAGGCCAGTATGGCCTGTCAGGACCCTCACAGGACAGATTTAGTTGGACTCACCTTCCAGGCGTGGATACAGTGAGGCTGCAGAGGTGTGGGCAGTGACCAGATTCTAGGCACGCATGGAAGGTTGTGCCCCTTGGTCTGCGGAAGGATCAGGTCAGAGTGTGAGGGAAAGATAAGACAGGGAGGACCCTGTGGCTTGAGCTGCAGTGGGGGTTGGCAATTTCTGGAACTCTCCAGGCAGGTTTAGGGAGGGGAGAGTAGTTAGAACTAGGTGACATCCCTAGGCCCTGTGGTGCTAGGTCATAGGCCAACATTCCAGTATTGTCCACATGGAGTCTCATTCCTCCACAAGCCCTTATGGTGTGGTCTGACCAGTGAGGGGGGAGGGGTCCACTAATGTGATCTTTCCCTCACACAACCCACATCCACCCTAGGAGCCCAAGACTGAAGTTCCTCATTCAACCAGAAGGTCCTCTCAAGTAAATGCCTGTGTCCCACCTTGTCTCTACACAGCCAAGTTGAGCACTTGTTTCTTGGAACCTCTGTCTCCCCACTGTTAACAAAACTGTGGAGTGTGATGTGTAGAGAGCTCTGGCATAGCGGCCCCACATGGCATGAGTGGCAGCTGTTCTGTTCAGCCTCCTGCAGGCATCAGCCTGGCTCTGAAAGGCCCAGTGCTAGGTGTGCCAGTAGCCCACAAGTCAGTCTTGAGCCCCTAGAATGTGTCTAGCAAAGAAAATATAACAGTTGTTTTAGAGACAGTCATTTCTTGGGTGTCTGCCCTGATTAGACATGGGGATATAGTAGTCACTGAACCTGGGTACTCCAGGAGCTGATGTGGTGCAGAGTCCCCCAGGCCCTTCCAGGATCTGCCGCATCCTTGGCCCATGTGGCTGATCCAGGAACACTGAATGAGGAAGCAGTTGAGGTTAGGAACACTAGCCAGCTCTCAGGGACTCTAGGCTCCCCCACCTCCCTGCTCTGTAGGGACAGTGACAGAGCAAAGATAAGTCTTTTTAGTGGCCTTCAAGGCCCTGTGTGATCTGGCTCCAGGATCCCCCAACTGGCAACCTACTATTCTCCCCACTCATTTGGGTCCAACAGCCTCCTTGCAATTCCTTGAACATTCTATCTCAGGGTCTTTGCACATGCCATGCTGACTATCTGGACTCATCCCCTACATCTCTTTTTGGATCCTTACCTCCTTCAGGTCTTTTCTCCATAGAGGTCTGCCCTCTGTACTTGCCTTTAAATGGCAGCCTGTGACCACACCTCCCCCTTCCACTGTGACGCCCCCACCCCGTTGCTCCCCCCACCCCATTGCCCCCCAAGTGATCACTTTCAAATCCCCCCTTGCTTATAATGAAATGGTATCACAGTCACGTATCCATCAATGACGGCTGCATCTACAATGGTGGATCCTACCTATAGCTTAGGTGGTGATCTAGTCTGTATAGGTTTATGTGATTGCACAATGGTGTTCCTATCATCTGTCTCCCTCCTTGAGGGAACATTGTGTCAGTTTCGTTCACTGCTGCAGGCCCAGCACCCAAAACTTGGCCGCATTGTTGGGACTTCAGTGAGTAGGGGGAATAAAACAGCCAGCGCCGCAGGCAGCGCCTTCAGTAACTGGTATCCAGGTCAGTCCCAAAAATAGTCTCCTGGTCTCTGCTCGCCTGCTGTGGGTGAGCTGAATTAACCCAGCAGGTGCAGAAAGCTGGGGACCAGAGTCCCATGTGCTGCAGTTAGGGCAGGCAGCAGCAGAGGCCATAGCTGGGTGTGACTAAGGCGGTGGGAACAGTGGGCAGAGAGTAGGGTCACGAGGAGCTGCTAGAGGACCTAGACATAGTTCCAGGGGACACCCTTAGCTGGGCCTGAAAAGGGATGGGTATGCCGAGCAGAGGGAAAGGTAAGTACCCGGTCAGGAGACAGGGCATGTTCAGGTGAAGCAGAGAGACCTGAAATCTGGGTTCACCCCAGACTCCCTATGTGACTTGGACCTCTGTATCTTAGTTTCCCTGTGGGGAAATGGGGACATGTATTGTAGCCCCCATCCTGGAGCTTCAGGGAGAATCAGAAAACCTCATGAGACTGGACCCTGTCACAGTGTGAGGTTTGCCATGAGACCCTAGGCTGTCAGTCCTCCCCTGTGACCTGCACCACAGGCCGGGAGCCCAACAACATACAGAAGTAAATTAACAGTGCTTTAAAGTTAAACACCTGATGCGTACTTTCCTTTTAGCTTTAAATCTAAAACATGTGACATAAAATTTGCTTTTAACAATTAGGAAAAAACGCTTAGCAGTGACACGTCTGCTTTTAGGGCCAATGAACTGTGTATTCTGACCTCAGGGCCTTTGCACAGGCTCTGCCCTCTGCTTTTCCCTCAACTGGCCCCTACTTTTGATCACCCCTCAGATCACAGTTTTCCTCCTTAGAGGGGTCTCTCCCCACACTGCCCCTCGCCAAATGACCCTGCCTCTCCCCTCTACCCAGTGTATTTGTTTCCTTATTTTACTTACAAGTCCCTGAAATGATAAGCCTTGGGGCTGCCCTCAACCCCACTAGCTCCTCTCACTATGACCAAACCATCAGCAGACCCTCTTGCACCTTCAGATCACCCTGGAGTCTGACCCCTTCTCATGCCCACACTGCGTCCACCCTGCACTGAGCCCCCATCCTTACTCCTGAGCAGCCCTCTGGTTCCCGCCTCTGACCCGTCTGTGCTCACGACAGAGGGTCCCCTGAAGTTCTGAACCACGTCTGCCCCTGTTCTGCCAGTGACCTGCCTGTGACTCCCAGCTTACAGCCTACAGGCTCTGAGGGGCCTGCCCTGTCACCTCACCTCCGTGGTTTCTCTCCCCGCCTCCTGGTGCTCTGCTGCCTCTGAGCCTCTGACTGCTCTGCCGAAGACACTGTCCTCCAGCTGTCCCTGGGACTCCCTGTCTTCCAGTCTCGCCTCCCCCGGCACTCCCTGCTGCTCTGCATATGTACTTGCTTGTATCTCGTGTTATTGTCTCTCTGCTAGTCAGTGCCATGAGGGCAGGTCTCTGGCTTGGGCACTGCTGTGTTCCCGGCACAGAAACAATATCCAGGGCTCAGTAAATGTCTCTTAAATGGAATGGATGGACGTGCTGTCAGAAAGGTGGATGGATGGAATGACTGAGGATGTAGGTGAGTGGGTACAGATGATGGATGGACAGATAGCCAAATGGAGGGAAGGAGAACTAAAGACTTCGGTCGCAGAACCCTCAGGTAAATGTTTTTTTCTGATGGAGTTTGGGTAGACGGGGTGGCAGGTGTGTGACTACAGCAGTTCGGTCCTGCTTCCTGGGCCCAGTGTCAGTGGTGGACACTGTATGTGGCACTCTGCCGAGTCCAGCAGGTGGGCCTGCCCTTTATGCCTCTTCCGGCTTTGGCTAAGTTGGCGCTTGCTGAGGCCTGCTCTGCACCCAGCTCTAGGCCTGAGGACTCCAGACTCCCAGGAGTGCTCAGTGGGAATGGACAGATAGTGACAGTGTGTTCTAGTGCTGCTCCAAGCCTTTCACAGGAATCACTTCATGTATCTCCCAAGCATCCTTATAAGGAATGGTTGATCATATTCCCACTTTCTGGATGAGGAAACTGAGGCCCAGAGCTTTTATTCAGTTTCTACTTCCAGTAGCCCGGCTCCGAATGACTGCCCTCATGTGGCCCTCTACCTGGGTCAGGCAGCTAGAGTCTCCATGGCCTCACCTGCCCACCTCTCCCCCCATGCAGGCTGTCACGACCGGGCTGTCCTGTTGTACGAGTACGTGGGCAAGCGGATTGTGGACCTGCAGCACACCGAGGTCCCCGACGCCTACCGCGGGCGCGGCATCGCCAAGCATCTCGCCAAGGTAGGGTGGGGAGGGGTGTGCCCTCCCACTCAGGATACCAGGACACTGTGGGGGCCACCCCGGCCCTTTCTTAGCCAACGTGCAGATGGGCCCCTGCCTGGGCAACACCTTGCTACTAGGCACAAGCGGTTGCCCAAAAGCAGGGCTCCCTCCTTGGCTCCCCTCAGGATGGTGCAGCATCCCAGCCCTGGGTTCTGCACACACCTCTCTACACCTCTGTGGCTCTGTGTGTCAGGAGTTCCAGTAGCCTGGGCCTTGTGCCCACCTCACACACAGATGCTCAGTGAATCCTCATTGAATGCATGGATAAGGTAAATGGGTCTATGTCCCCACCCCCAGAGTACTTTAAATCCCTGGCTGCTTGGAGAGCAGATTTGGGTTTAATGAGGGGAGTGACAGAGTAAGAGTAAGCAGAGAATTCCCCTGAGGCTGGTCCTGTCTGTTATTCCTACCCAATCCTACCCTGGCCAGTGCACCTTCTCTGCCCTCCCCTCTGGTTCAGTTGGTGCTTCCTTGGGCCAGGCCAGGGCTCTGTGCCGAGCTGGGGGGAGGTGCCTGTCTTAAATAGCAGCTTCCCTCTTCTCCTGTGTGGGACCAGACTGAGGGCAGGTTTGTGGGGTGGCCAGGTTACTGATGAGGAAATCCTGATAGTTACTGGGAGGTGGGCTCCTCCTTCACTGCTGAGCCCTGCTCCCTGAACTCCCATCACCCCGTGGCAAGAGGGTGCCCACTGTGTGGCCATCGAACCAGCACCTTCTTTGATCTTCAGCTTTTTTATCTGCAACGTGAGAACAGAATTTTATCACAAGAAGGCCTCAGGTCATAAACCTCGGGTTGCTGAGGGACCCCAAAGATTCTTGACTTCTGCCCAGGAGAGATTTCATGCAGGAGTCAGAGTAAGTGGAAGGAATGATGCTCCTGTTGGGCCACACATTCGAGAAAGAGCGTGCAGGCAGATTCAAGAATCAGCCTTGGTCTTAAGGTTACTGATAAAAATACTTGCTTGGCTTGAAGGGGCAAGGGTCACAGATGGGGTCTGGAACAGATTTTGAACAGTTTTGTTTAACAAGACCAACTGGGTCCTAACATCCCACTGGTTAAGTAAGATAGGAATTTTACAGTCAAGGCGCCAGCATGAGATAAAGGCTGTAAACTGGTAGGGTTTGGGTCACCTTGCTCTGGAATGTGCATAGATTTTTTTCAGAGTTACTGGATGGGGTGGAGAGGTGGCTGCAACCTCTGTGCTAAATTCCTGTTCAGGTGTGGACAGTGAGGTAACAAAGCCAGGCTCAGGCATACTAGAACATCAGAGGGGTTACCATGTCATGCATCAGATTGGCTGACCCCATGCAGTGTCCTCCACCAGCAAAGAGTAAACTTCAAATGCAAACAGCAACTTCAACAGGAAGTACCCCCAAATACCCTCCTGCTCTCTGGCTCTAAGCTCCTGGGAGACAGCCAGAGACTACAGAAAGCCCTGGGGGGCTTGTGGCAACCCCAAACTGAGCCTAAAGGGAGAAGGCTCCAGGAGAAGCCATCAGATAAGCTGTGGCATGAAGGATGGATCATTGAGAAAGAAGATTGAAGATGGGCATCCTGTGGGCACTGGGGCCCTGATTGGAAAGGGGCAACCCACACAGGGAGGCGTGTGGGAGAGGCAGGCCACATGATAGGGGCAGGCTTCTCCCCATTTAGTCCCTACAGTGCTGGCCAAGAACATCACGGCTTGTATCTCTCAGCTGCTTCTGGATGGTTCTATGCACAGAGGGGCTCTGGACCCAGTGGCTCCAATCCTAGCTAGCTCTCTTCCATGCTCTATGGCCTAAGCTTTCTGCTTCCATTTCCCAAACTGAAATATGGGGACGGTGACAAGTGGGTAGAACATGGGGCAGCCAGCTCCTCCTGTCAGATGGACAGCCCCAGCGGTGTGGGGGCGTCCCCACTGTGAGCCAAGGGAGCTGGCACTGACTCCTCTTCTCTCTGCCCAGGCTGCGCTGGACTTTGTGGTAGAAGAAGACCTGAAGGCCCATCTCACGTGCTGGTATATCCAGAAGTACGTCAAGGAGAACCCCCTGCCACAATACCTGGAGCGCCTTCAGCCGTAGCCCTGGCCTGCGGGGCGGGAGCCCTCATCCAGACCTTTCCTCACGGCCGAGGCCTGGCCCTCTGCGTGCTCTCAGGAAACCTGGTCCCTACCGGGTATGGACTCAGAGTTATTTTTGTAAGAACACTCATCTGTGGCCCCTGGAGGCAGCTGGCCAAGTATGGCCAGTGTCCAGCTACCGTGGTGAAGGCAACGCCAGGCGGCCACAGTCCCAGAAGCTCCTGCTCTACTGAGATTGGTCCTGAGAGGGACTTCAGCCAGGAGCAGAATGTGGACGGGGTCCCTGTGACCATTCTGGGCTCCCCCTGCCGTTCCCTACTCTGTGAGCGACAGGAGGGCTAATTTGGGGCCTGCTAGGTCCCCTAGGTCTGCATCTTTTCTGTGGATGAGGAGGGTGTTCCCTGAGCTGAAAGGAGCAATAAGAAACCTTGTGTGCCAACTTCCCAGGGGTAGAGCACCCAGCTGTGGTTGCCACCAGCACTGCCCCTTCTCTTCCTCCAAGTCACGGGCCCTGGCGTGAGAAGGGCGGCCCTCCCGGCACGCGAGACGGGCCAAGACCCGTGCCTGCTGCTTGAGCTCGGCTGCGTACACAAGCACACACCACATGCACATACAGGACGCCAAGGGCAGGGCGTGCACTGTCCAGGGGCTGACGGGGGAGCGCTGGGTGCTCTCTCCTAGTACCTGCCCCCTTAGCTCCTTGCCCCTTGTCTTTCGGCTCTACAAGGCCCCCATCCCTCATGGCTGTGCTTCCTCCCATTCGCCCCCTTTGGCCCCTGCTCACCCCTATCTGTCACAATCCAGCTTCAGGGGCATCTGGAGCACCCCAGATCCCCACTTCACAGTGACCTCCTGCTGCCCTGTGGGTGGGCTTTCTCAGAGAGGACCCTCTGGAGCTGGGACGTGGGGGCCGGGGGGATACAGATGATCCTTAAAAACTCACCACCCGAGAGGAGGAAATGTTTCTGCTGGGGGATTTCCTTTGCTGCCACAGAACATTTTTCTCTTTGTGGGGAGCTTGTGCCGGGCACGTTCAGTTGCCTGTCTGCCTTCCTGGTAAGGACCTGGGAGGGGTACTGACCACCCTTTGTTCTCTGAGGCTGACCTTTCTGGAGGCCCTTAGGGCTTCCTTTTGGGGGCTGTTTAGAGCTCAGGGTCCTAACTTGTACCCCACCCCCCTACCCTCTCCCCACTGTAGGGTCAAATTCATTCTCCTCCATGGCACTGAGTTGTTAACATCAAACTCCTGGGTGACGTGTCCCCTGCAGGCCTCTGACTGGGCTCAGGGAGATATGGGTGCTAGGGGTGCTGGTTGCCACGGTGACTCCTCCATTAACTGCCATGCCCTGGCAGGCATAGGCCTGTAGATGCCTTTTCTGCTCACCTCTTTGTTCCTGTCTCCACATTGAGGCCCTCACCCCAGCCACTTGCTGCTCAGGGGCCCAGCCCACACATTTCACAGATGTTGTCCCACTCTGTAGCAGGAACAAGATCCTCACATGCAGGAGGCCTGGCAGTCTGCCCACCTAAGGGTCCCTTAGCCCCAATGTCACTGTCTTTAGTATCCCTCACTCCCTCCCATGTCCCAGCCCCACTTTGGCCTCCGGGAGTTCCTGAGACATCCAGAGACACCCTTCCCCTCCTTGCTTGCTTCTCAGTTCTGATTATGTAGGACTAGAAAGGCCCCTAGGCCTCCACTGTGCTGGGAATTATGGGTCAGGAAGAAATAGTTTGCAGGAAGTGGGTTTATCTGCTGGGTCCCCTCTAAAAGGCTGGAGGTGTCCCTTTCCTGGCAGAGTTTAAGAGTGGGTTGTAGGCCTGAGAGTGGACAGAAGGGCCAGCTCAGGGTCTGGGCCTCTTCCCCCTCTACTGTCCAGGGCACCTGGGCTAGAATTCCCCCCTCTCCCTCCCTGTAGGACTGCCCTGCCTCATACATACATGCCTCCCCAAGGTCTAACATAGACTCTGTCTTGAAAACTCAGTAGCTCAGTGAGCTGGTGCTATTTCCTCTGAGGCCTGCAGGGCAAGTGACCAGGCTGAAGGAGGGCATTGTCCTGCAGTGGTAATACCCAGGACCCCCAGGAGAGGCCTCCTAGGGCAAGCAGGGCATTGAGGGTCAGAGAGCCAGGTCGCACCAAAAGGGAACGGGCCATCCTCACCGTCCCAACCTAGGATCCTGTGTTCTGCCGGCTGGCGACCCCACATTCAGCCCAGCATATGCATAAAACAGTACTTGAACCAAAAGATGTGTGGGGTCTTGGGGGCCCTGTGTCACCCTAGGTCCAGAAACAGCTAGTCTCAGTTCCTGCAGGTACGACCTGGATCGCCTCAACTCAGGAGGCCTTAAAATGCCACTGTACCCACTACAGGTGGTTGGGCTGCTGTGCTAGCCTGGCCCTCAGGCCCACACAGAGCCTCGTGGCAACAGTAGCCTCCTCTCCCAGACCGTGGCCCTGGGTTGGCTACAGAAGCCTATCCTGGCTCTCCCAAATCACCTTGGGCCAGCCAACGTGACTGACCTGCCCCCTGGTGCTAAACAGTCTGGTGTCCCAGCCTTACCACCCTCCTTAATCCTGGAATCCACACCAGGGCTCCCCTCCCTGAGGATCACCCTGGAGGCCCACGCCCTCCCGCCACACCCATGCTGTGAGTTTTTCTCCTTGCTCAGTCAAAATAGGTGGTCACTCATGTGCCTTTCCTACTCAGGACCTGTTACAGATGGGGTCTGGGCCAAGACTGGTCCCTAGACCTGCTCCCTTTGTTACTTTTCAAACTCCTAAACATAATGCATGACATACATTTCAATACAAGGTGTGACCTCAAGTACCAGCTGGACTGCTGTGGGCAGGGGCCGGAAGGCTGGTGCTGCTCTCCCTGCACCGTCCTGGCCCATAGCAATCTGATTGCTGGTGCCATTTTTTTTAACTGATAAGGAAACAGGCACAGTGAGATTGAGTCCACAGGGGTGAGGAACGAGGGAGGAGGCAGGTATGGCAGGCACCCTCCATTCTTTTTCCCTGCTTGCAGCCTGTTACTTAAAACCATTAGTGCAGCCTAGTTTCAGGTAGAAAAAGTGAGACTCCCAGAGGAATTGGGTTTGGGCCAAGGTCTTGGAGCAAGACAGTGGTGGCCTCAGTATCTACAGATGTTGCTGTTTGTGTCCATCCACATCTCCCCACACCATGGCTCTAGTAGGCTGCAGCCACACTCAATACAGCTTCCCTTGTCTTTGAGGTGGCCAGATGGGCTACTGGAAGGTGGCTGTGACAGTATATCACACTGCATAGGCCTCTGCCCTCAGACAAGTGCTCCCCTGTGAAAAGTCACTTCTTGGGACTTTTGGTCCAGGAGGGAGGGGGAGAGGCAGGCCAATCTCCCTTTGATACATGGTGCTGTCCACGCAGTCCAGGTGGCATCTGGCAGACAGGAGCATGACTTGCTCCTTGGCTGCACAGGGACAGTGGGAACTCCACTTCCTCCTTCTGGTTCCCCCTCCAGTGATTACAGTAACCGTGAACAAAGAGGAGAAGGAAGGCACTGCTGTCACCAGGCCCTTCATGGTCTAGTCCAGCCTGTCATCACAGTCCCATGAGATCCCATTTCTTAAGATTGTTTTACCAGTGAGGACATGGGTTCAGTCAGGGAGTCACTGGACTACAGCCCATGTGGCTAGAAAACAAGGCCAGGGCCCAGGCCCAGCTCCTGTGCCTTTGAGATGATGCCACGCTGTGTGCCATGAGGCCTTCTGTCCACTTGAGGGGACAGGTGGCCTCAGGGACCAATACACAGGTAACTTCACAACTCCCTGCTCATTTGGAAGCCTTAAATGGCTTGTCACTACAAGGTGTCTGGCAGACACGGATACACCAGCTGGATCATGATGGAAACTGACAGAGCACCTGACCCTGTGCTCGCATTGTTCCTCAGTTCAGGATTCCACCCAGATGTCCCTCTGCTATTCTCAGGGTCCTCCTCCTTCCAAATCAACACCCTAACTTTCATATTAGAAGTCCGGTGAGACTGTGAATGCATTTTGTAACTGCAACCTGCAAGGTCAAATTTAGGGTTACATTTTCAGTTGTATCAGTCTCCTGGCTACAGAATATTAAAGAGATTCTTTCTGGCTGTCAAAGACACTGGGCTGTGTCTATGGTTTTCTTTCTGCTGACTTCAGGGCTATGAGACCAGCCAGCCCCTATCTGTGTAGCTGTTTCTGCATCACTGTTTCCACATTGCTGTTACCATGGGCAACGGCTGGTCAGTCCCCCACGCTTTACCTTCAAGAGGCAACTCAGCACTGGGCACTTAAGATAGGTGATAGATGAGTTGTAGTTTTGCCACTGAGGGCCATGAACAGAGCCCCAGCTTCCCCCTACTAAGGAGGCCGTTTCTGTGTTCCAGTCTACCTGTGTCAGATAACCAGACTTCCAGGCTTGAGGACCATTGCTGGCAGGCTACTTCTGCCAAGAACAGTCAGTGTAAAGTCAGGAAAACTTAAATAGTCTTCAAGCAGTGGGGATCTAAAACAAGAGACTGACTGGTCATGAAACTGCTGGAAGGACAGGAGGAACAGGAGGAAGATTGGGTGACCCAAATGTTAGTAAGTGTAGGAAGCTACTGTTTATGCTGGAAGAGCAGCAGAATGATACCCAAGCCCTGGGATGCTATTAGGACTTTGCTGCCTGAACCAAACTCAGGTGTGTATATGCCTGCTGCTTGGTGCTGCTACCACTGCTAAACAACCCCTCCACCCCCACCCAATCCACAAACTACTGTCTAGTCTCCTGTCAGCATCACCATTGGCAGAAGTTAATAGACAACTCACAGTGGGGAATGGGAGGTAAGCTTGCAGGCATCTAGCCCTACTGTGGTCTCAAGGTAGGGTGGAGGCTGAATGCCAGCAGACAAATGGTTGGGATAAACTAATAAGGAACATTCTTGCATCTGACATGATGCCAGTCTATCTCTTGCAAGTCCATTTTTTTGCCAAAGGCTGAGACATCATAATAGAAAATAAGAAGTCCCCACACCAAGGCAACTCAGATGGCTGTTGAAATGGCAGCTCATGTTGGGGGCCCTTTGTCATCACCAATGCTGGTATGTCATGGGCTGGTTCTCTTGGGAGAAGCTTGTAGCATGGTCAATGGGACACTTGTAGCCATGAATTGGAGTCCAGTGGCAGGTATGACTGGGCAAGATTCAACAGTCTTCTTGGTCAGGGAGAGGGCAGAGTATAGTCAGAGGTCAGAGAATGACCGTGGATTCTGACCGTTACTCCAAGTCGGGAGGAGATGTGGTAATAAGGTCACACATTAGATGAGTAAAAGTGCTGGGACAGAAGAAGACACCCCACGCATACCTCTAGTCACTCTGAAAAAGGAGTCAGGAGAAAGAACTTACTGGTGTTTTATCTACCAAGACAGAAAGGTCAACAGACTAGGTGAGAAAACCTCTTCTGTTTTAACTCCCCAACAAGCTTGTGAGAAGAGAACCCTCCTTTATAGGGGGAGGCTGTGGCTTAGCAAGTCAGTGCCATGTGTCCAGTGAGGACACAAGGGTGACAAGACACACAGTCCAGGGGTGGGGGAGCGCTCACACACAGTAAGAAGGCTGTGTTCAGCCACTGCCACACCCAAGCAAGGTGCCAAACCTGACATGAAGTTCCTGCAGGCTCTCTTAAAGCAGGGATGAATCTAGGCTGGGCCCAAAGGGGGGTGAAAGGAGCAGCCTCGGGTACTGAACACATCTCACTATACTCCAGCCCCACACATTTTCCAGCTTTCCTCAGCCTTACGGAGACACTTGCACCTCAGGGCCTTTGCACATGCTGTTCCCTTGACCAAAATACTCTCCCCGCCTCCCAGCTCCAGGCAGCCTCGGGGCTCCCTCCCTCACCACCTTCAGGTTGGTGCCCAATTTCTTAGAGACTTTATCTTTCCCAGACCCCACCCTACCGTAAATTGCTTTTCCGCCCCTGATTCCCTTACTTTGCTTTATGTTTTCCAACCTTTGCATTCTTACCATATGACATGTTTCTCTTGCTTGTTATTTGTTGTCTGCAACTCTCTGCTAGAGTACAAACTCTGTGAGGACGGTTTATTTTCTAGCTTGTTTGTTACTATATCCTTAGCATATCAGTCAGTACCCAGAACATAGATAATGCTCAGCATGTTGGTCAGATCGATGTTTGTCAGGACGGACAGACAGATGGGTGGATGGATGAGTGGAACAGTGATGAGAAAGAGGGATCCAGATAAAATAAGCAATACAAGTAAACTCCAAGCAGTGAAAGAGCGAAAGCCCTCGTTTGAAGTTGCATTTGACTAGGGGAGCGAGAGTCAAGAAATGCACATGGAGCTGCGTGGGGCCAGACAAGAGAAACTATGAGCTGTACCAGCAACTCAGTCCATTTCTATTGTAGGTGCCTTTCCCAGCATCCTTTGTAGTGGTTGTGACCCTCTTGTGAGTTCTGGCTGGTGAAGTGTGTGTGGAAATGATGTGGGCTCCTTCCAGTTTCTCTCTTCCCCATTCCACTGCAGAATGAAGCCAGTGGAAATGTTTTGGGGGTATGAATCTTTCTATGGCCATAAAGAGCATGGATCCCTAAATCACTCCTTGGAGAAGTGCCCCCTACCATAACAAATTTTCATTTTGACCTGTAAATGAGGAGAAAATGGTTGGAAGGCCCCAGTATTAATGAGTTGGTGTTCTCAGTTGATAGTGTGGTGTGATTAGAGGCATAGGCAAGCAAAACAGTGTTTGCAAACAGAAGAAAGGGGCATAGAAAGGTTTGAGACCTCAGAGCAGGAAAGAACAAGTGCTTCTGGCCCCCAAAGATCAGTAAATAAAACTGAGAAAACTTCTGAGTGACAGAGGCCCGTAACTCTTTCTCATTTCTACAAAGGTCTCAGCCTGGTGACAAAGGTCAAAAGCTTGTTGCCTTGAATCAAAGCGAATTGTCTGAAATGCTTTGAAAGTTAATGTAAGTTTGTAACAGGAACCCCATGGCACGAGCCATAGGGCATGACCAGCTTTGCCACTGCTACAAGTCCCAGAGCATGGCAGCATTGTTGAGGTGCTGCCTTGGCAGATGCCCTCAGTAACTGACCCTGGCCAGAGCTCCAGGGACTCTGGCCGCGTGGGCCTGGGCTGCGTGGCAACAGATGCCATGCTGCTCTGTAAGTGGCAGGGCATGGTGGCTTGTTGGCACTGAGGCACCTGCCTGCAGGAAGTACCCAGGCTTCTCCTACTTGGGCTCTGGCAGCTGTCACCCTGCTCCAGAGCAGGCTAGCCCTGGGGCTCCAGCAGTTGAAGCAACCCCCAAGCCCCACAGCTCCTGGTTCAAGGCTGCTGGGAGGGGCATGGGCACGCCCTGGGGCAACTCCTGAGCTCCCTGAAGCCACAGGGACAGAGGTCCACAGAGCACCAGGCCAACGTGGTAGAACCCAGTGGCAGGCTGCCCTGCAGCCGCTATGACCTGTGTCCCAGTGCTGCTGCAGGGTCCCTTACACTGTTACACCAGCCCTGTGTACTGTGTGTGCCTTGGCCCCCCACGTCCCCTAAGCTAGCTCCAGTTGTGGCTCCTTAGAGGCTGCCAGCCCACTGGCTTGCCCTGACCTCAGTACAGGTCAGAGCCAAGGAGGAACTCAGGTTTTCCCTTCTGAATATGGAGGCAGGATCTTGAATGGGCCTATCAGGTTCAAGCTCACTGAAACAATCAGTTTCAAGTCTTTGAGTTCATTGTGTGGATCAAAATTGGAGCAAGTTGTTTGGTGCTTAACTGGCATCCATCAAACAACAGGAGAAAAGCAGTCCAGTAAGACTTGTAAGGTGGACCCTGAAGAGCAACTAAGGCAGAGCAGAAGTCAGTTTTACTGATTCAGCTGCACACCTACAAAGTTGGCTTCTAATTGAGCAACCTCCTAAGCATTCAGCAGATGGCTTGCAGACTATGCAGACCTTCACACATTTCAGACCTTCACAGACTGAGACCTTTGCAGACTTCCAGACTTCTGTAGATTCGAGACCTCAAAGACCTTTGCAGAGAACCAACTACCACCCCTGCCTCTGACCCTGCCTCCAACATTGTCTGCAGAGAGCACCATCGGCCTGAGCCCAGTGAGTCTTAAGAAGAGCTGTTTGCTAGTGCTTATGTCTAGCTCACAAAGAGCTGTGACACTGATGTCTCTGATACTGCCTCCTGGTGACAGGCTGAGCTGTGCTGTTGACCAATACAGATCAGTACTGCTGACCAGAGACCAGCTCTCTGTCTCATCACCTCTGAGAGTTGTCCTCTACTTCCGATCACCCACCACCACCTCCTGGCGCTGTTGAGTCTAGCACTGCTGGACTGACATCTGGTGGTGTCCAGTCCGGCCATCAGACTGTTGCTGCGGGCTGTGCAGTGTCACCTCAGGGACCCCACCGGTGAGCACCACTAGCTGCCACTGTGAGTCAGACCTGCCCCACTGCTTACCTTGGGCCACCAAGTCCAAGTCCTCAGAACAGTGCCTTCTTGCACGAGTAGCCATTATTTTGAACTACTGAACACTGTGGAAACTGTGGGTGAAAACTATGTGGGGTGAGACAGCTGGCCACTTGTGGCCTTAGAAACTCTTCTCTTTCCCCCAATCTCCAGTTTGTTAATAATCTCCACTATTACACAGTGAGCGTCCGTGGCCTTGCTGTTGTCATCACACACGCAAGAAGCCATAGACTTTGACTGTCCCCTACCTTTGACACTTTTAAATTGAGTCAGAGATGTGGGCATGAGGAAGCAAAGAATAAAGCTACTTAAAGGTTATGTGAAAAAGAACCCTGGGGACAGTCTCATGGGACTTACCAGAGGATAACCCCCTAAATTTTGAAGGCAATCATATGCTGAGAAGCCATGAGCCTTTGACCTGGCTCCCCAAACCAGGCCTGTGGATAGGAAAGGGGCCTTTAGATGTGGCCACAGAGGAAACTGGGTGCAGAGGCCATGCGAGGACAGGGACCTCTCCACCCTTCGCCTCTCTGGCTCTGTCTGCCTATGCCCTCCCTGTTCTTTTCTGCCTGCTAAGAGCCACACCCCTGCCCATGGATTATCCTGTCACTATTCCTGTTTCATTCGGGCTCAG